TAAATGTATAGCTTACTTTTGTTTAATAAAGCGCACGCAACTAGCCTGACAGAGGGTTAAAAAAAAAAAAAAAATAAAAAATAAATTTACTATAATTGATAATATTTAAAACAAATATCAATAGTTATTTTAAATATCAAATATATAATTTATAATATATAGTTATAATAGTTCAATATCAAATATTACTATATTTAATTATAGTATAAGTAGTATATATAAATATTCAAAAATTTTGAAATATTAATATTAAAATATATATTTAAATTATTGATTATATTTTATAAATATTTCTTATCTTTCTTGATTTATTATTATTATTATTTCTTTATTAATAAAGATATTGTTAAAAGGTTTTTGATTATATTTTTCTTAAAAATTATAATATATTTATATTAGTAAAAAGTTTTATTTTTATGTTTTTTTGTTTTGATTCTTAATTATCTATTTAACTTAAGAGAGAAAAAATTGAGCAGGTTAAATAAATATGTTAAAGTTAATTTATTTAATTTTTTAAAAAATTAAAACTTTATTAATAATTAAAAATTTTGAAAAAAAAATTTTTTATATATAATTGAACAAGTTAGTTTATTATAAAATTAATTAAATTAATATTTAAATTATTATTAAAATTAATTTAAAATATATATACAATTTTAATATAGAAATTGCAATTAGCAATTATTATATACTATTAATACTAAAATCAATAGTTAAAAACTTACTTTAGAAGAAAAATTAGAAAAAATAAAGAACTAATAATAAAAATGTTTTAGATACAATTAACTTTATTATAGAATAAGAGAAAATATATAGACATTAGATATACTGTATATTATACTTTTTAACTCTAGTAATTAACTATATTCAATGTTTGCAATCAACTATAATTTATTCCAAGTACTTGACAAAATATAGTATTTTTAAAAACTACTATTATTAGAGAAGCCTTCAAGACTCTTAAGAAAAGAAGATATATTTCAATACAAAGGAAATACTCAAAATTGATAATATCATTTCCAAGAAAGATTTTGAATTCTATAAAGAAATCAATAAATTAGCTTAGTAAACTTTTTTATATTTTTAAATAGTTTAATTCTTTGAATAATAATATATAAAAATAAGCTAATTATTATATAAGTAATAATATAATATTGCCTATTTGCATTTTTACTTCAATAAAAACTAGCTATTGTAACATAATTATGAGTTAGAAAAACAAAACAAAATAAATACCCTTCGGCCTAATTGCAGGTTAAATAAAAAAACAAAAATTTAAACTTTGGAAAAAATTTTGTTACATGTATATTTAACTAATTATTGTTTTTATTTCATGACAATATACTGTATATTGGATATTTTTATTTTACTCTTTTACTTTTTTCATCTAATATCATTATTACTATTTATTTAAAATTTATTATATCGTGAATTTAATATCACTTTTATTAATTTCACATCTAAGGCATTGCTAAGGTCATATGCTTTAAAACTTAACTTGGTCGAACTTTATTAATGAGTGATTTTTTTAAAAGTCCTAATGAATAAGCTAACAAGATCCATTGCTATGTAAAAAGAAATGAAAAAACAAGAGGCTGTGTTTACAAAAATTTCAACTTTAATATTTATTATATAAAATTTATTGTGACGATAATGGCTTCTAAGCTAGTGAGTCTCACATTTTATACAACGTATTTTAGATCCACATTAGGAGCCGTTGAAAGCATTATTATATTATTTTTAATAACGTGAGCAATTAAAAAATTCCTATATGATATTTGCTACGATGAAAGAAGCTAATTAATGTGAATATTTACAATATCTATATTTTCACGTTTTATTGTATCGATCCTAATATGTACAATCGTTCTGCAAGCACAAAGATTGTATGACATCGTGTATCTATATGTCCGGAATTTATGTAAATAGATTCCATATTCATATAATACCATAAATCGAATAGTGTCTTTCTTTTTACATATATAAGAATGAACAATATTTTCGATTCCTCAACGTCTGTTAAGAAGAAAGATGTATATTATGTTAAAACAAATGATCATTTATGCTGGTCCGAAAAAGTCTGTGGCATATGTACTAGCAATCTTTTTCAGAAACAACTTTCAGATTGGACAAGCGACAATTCAGAAATAGACAAAATAATCCAAGAAACACACAAAGGGAAATTCGATATAACTAATATTCTCGAATGGATACCATTTGAGCTGTTTCATGATGTAAGAGAGATGGATAAAGGTGCATTTAGTATAGTGTATTCTGCATATTGGAAGAACGGTCCATTACATATGAAAGTTTTACCAAAAAACTTTTCTCAGAAAAAAAAGAAGAAGAAGAAGAAGAAGAACCAATTTAGAATATTCTGCAGAGAGGGTCCCGTAAAAGTAGTATTGAAAAAGCTCAAAGTATCACAAAATATTTTGACGAAATTTATTAATGAAGTAAGTACTTATAGATTAAATTTTTATTTTAAAGTTTTTTTTAACAAAAATTTTTTTTCGATTTAAACATAGATGAAAGTTCACCATAAACTTTATTATGAAGATTTTGGCTCACGGGTTATTCGTATATTTGGAATGTTGTGAACTAGGGAATATGCGCGAATATTTAAAATTAACTTTTAATAATATCAGTTGGAGTGATAAACTTTATGACATAAAAGGAATCTTTAATAGCTTAAGTGATATACACAAAGGGAGATTCGCGCACAAGGATTTGCATAGCGGCAATTTATTATTTAAAATTGATTCTAAATTTCAAAATTTGCCAGACATGAAGATCGCAGATCTTGGATTAGCAAGTAAAACAAATAACGAAGAATGCGACATATACGGAGTAATAGCTTATACAGCGCCAGAAGTCTTAAGAGGGAAACCATACACTTCGGCAGCTGACATTTATAGTATGGGGATCATTATGTGGGAATTATCGTCAGGATGTCCACCCTACCATGATATTCCCCATAACTTAAACCTTATCCTTAAAATCATTTATGGATATCGACCGAAAATCGTTAAGGGAACACCGAGGCTATGGGTGAAATTAATGAGGCTTTGTTGGAATGCGGATGATTCAGAAAGACCCACGGCCAAACAAATGCATGAAAATTTGGAAGAATTATGGAATATAATAATGGACAACTTGATTAATTCGACCAAATCAAGAGAGAAGTTAAGGGAATTTTGTAAATATTCATCTTTAGAAGAGTTCGATGAAGATCTTGAGGAATTTAGAAATAAATATTACAGCGTTCAAAAAAAGGATAATCAGATAAAAGTACATCCGAAGGCAAACTATACAAGTCAATCTATATCAGATCTTACGAAAAATATTCATTGGAATAAGTCTACTCGAGGTATTCAAGGATTATATTACATTTTATTTAAGTCAATGCATTAATTCTATTTATTAACATAATATTATAACCATTTTATAGATTATATATACAGCTCCTTTCAA